TAGATTATGGTTGAGACTGGGGGTGGTTTGAGATGCAGATCCGGTGTTTGTTAAAATGTCTCTGAGCTAAGAGGTTCTCTATATTTTGTTGTTGATGTTGTTGGTGGAGGTTCTTTAATCATTATGGTTTGTTTTGTTATGCTTTTCTTACGACTTTCTTGATCTTGAAGAAACTGGCATAGTGTTATGATTTTTCTTTTTGGTATAAGAGCGCAGATGACTTGTATTTTGATGATTTGAACATATTTTCTTTATTTTGTTTCTTTCATGTGATGTGCAGAAATAATGCATTGTAGTAGTACTTGAGAAATTTGTCACATAACAAAAGGAAGTTCTGCTATTTGTTGACTTTGTTAGCTACAAGCATGTGACAACCCATGACCTTGGACTGTGTAAACAAGTGCCCTGCCTGTCAGTATCTTTCCTAAGTGATGCCTTCAAGAGAGAAGAAAGACGAGGAGTCTTTCTTAGTCTATTAGCTGCACTAATCAGATGACAGTGACTTGTTGTCAAAGAAAAATCAAATGACAGTGACTTAAGAGTAGGACCATAGAGAATTCTGTATTTTCGTGGCTGCACTCCTTTTTCTCTTGAAATAAGATAGTACACAACCATTTTCCTATATATATATATATATATATATATATATATATATATATATATATATATATTCAGAGCTCAAATCTGAGAGTACTACCATGGATGCCGGAGCTTTCCTGTGGAAGGTTCAGCCACTGCATTTTAACCAGTAAAGAACTGCAAGTGGTTAATGGTGATTGGTGAGATTTGAGAGAGTAGAGTGTCGTTGGGGCAAGCAACGGCATCAACATCAGGCTCCTGATTTTGACCGTGTCTGGGCTTTGAAGGCTTCCATTGCATGCTCCCATTGGTTGGACACAGCAAGGCAGCACTGTAACTTCAGCATCCTAAGGTGATTTTGTCCTCAAAATTACTCTGCTGCTGTCATAGTTGACCATCGATTAAAATAGTCCATGTGCTTGCCCCCAATTATTCTTCCACGCTATTCATGTCCTTGGTTCATGGGATACGAGTACACAGCCACTTCCTCTGTATTTATTTTGTATGCATACACTGAACTTCAGAGATAAGAATGAGAAAAAAAAGGGTCCGGAACCTTCAGATCTGATCACACACTAATTAATTATTCCATAACAGCGTGGCATTCCATAACAGGTTGGTGGTGTGTCATGGACTCGTCTGAACCCTTTTCTATCAGCGCAAGTTTGGTGGGCTCATGGGTGGCATGAGAGCGGCACTTTGCCTTGCGAGACCAGCCCAGCCCACACACACCTACTCAATTTATTCCGGCTTCTGAATTCTGACCGGTCTCCACACGGTTAATTTTCCACAGCGAGCAAAGGGGTAGATCCAACCTGGTGGCCTCGGGCAACGGGGTATATAAGGAGTTGCAGCCTCCTCTCTGCATACAACCCGTGGGCAGCAGCAGCTTCTCTGCATACACCAAGAAGTCGCCTCCCTTGCTTTCCTTCCTCCAGCAGTGCGCGCCCCTCCTCTCGAGATCTTCCCCGAGTTCCTGAGATCTGGTGAGCGTCTTCCTCCCTGATCTGGTTAGGTTTGGCCTGTGGTTTGGTGCCTGATCTTTGCGAGGAGAGTGGCTTCCATGCTGTGGATGCTGTTCTTTTCTCGGCTTCTCTGAAGATGCTTGCTGCCTTCAGATCTGGCCGGTGGTTGGTTTGAGATTCATTGTCTTGATTTAGTTAGTGGTTTGGATAGTAGGTGCCCCGTGCTGTGATTTTCGTTTGGCCTGCTGTGTGTTGAAGCTGCCGGTGAATCGGATGATTGGTGTGATCTCCGTTCAGTCTGTCATGCTCCTCGTATGCAGTCTGCAGAAGTAGGCGCAGCGTTTTTTTACCCTCAAATTAGATCATGCTGTGATGTTGCTAGCATCTCATGCTTGTTTGCTGAATTAATTGGGTAGAAGATTTCTTATAACATATCTGTAGTTTTAACTCTGAGAGCATTTCTGTGACTTACTGTCTTTCTTAGATCTGAATCTCCATTGCTTCAGTTTTTCATCTCTGAGATGTGTGATAACTGATAAGGGCTGTCGATGCTCTGTTTTTCAGTCCTCTGAAGACGATTCTTTGCTGTCATCGCAGGTTGTAAGCAGCCAAGATGGTGAAGATCTGCTGCATCGGAGCTGGCTACGTCGGCGGCCCAACCATGGCCGTCATTGCCATCAAGTGCCCGGCGATCGAGGTTGTTGTCGTCGACATCTCCAAGCCCCGCATTGACGCCTGGAACAGCGACACCCTCCCCATCTACGAGCCCGGCCTCGACGACGTTGTCAAGGCCTGCAGGGGCAAGAACCTCTTCTTCAGCACTGATGTTGAGAAGCATGTCGCCGAGGCCGACATCATCTTTGTGTCCGTGAACACCCCCACCAAGACCCGCGGCCTGGGAGCCGGCAAGGCCGCCGACCTCACCTACTGGGAGAGCGCCGCCCGGATGATCGCCGACGTGTCCAAGTCGGACAAGATCGTCGTCGAGAAGTCCACCGTGCCTGTCAAGACCGCCGAGGCCATCGAGAAGATCCTGACCCACAACAGCAAGGGCATCAACTACCAGATCCTGTCCAACCCGGAGTTCCTCGCCGAGGGCACGGCGATCGAGGACCTGTTCAAGCCCGACAGGGTGCTCATCGGCGGCCGGGAGACCCCCGGGGGCCAGAAGGCCGTCCAGGCCCTCAAGGAGGTGTACGCCCACTGGGTGCCCGAGGCGAACATCATCACCACCAACCTGTGGTCGGCCGAGCTCTCCAAGCTGGCCGCCAACGCGTTCCTGGCGCAGAGGATCTCGTCCGTGAACGCCATGTCGGCGCTGTGCGAGGCCACCGGCGCCAACGTGTCGGAGGTGTCGTACGCCATCGGCAAGGACTCGCGGATCGGGCCCAAGTTCCTGAACGCCAGCGTGGGGTTCGGCGGGTCGTGCTTCCAGAAGGACATCCTGAACCTGGTGTACATCTGCGAGTGCAACGGCCTGCCGGAGGTGGCCAACTACTGGAAGCAGGTGATCAAGATCAACGACTACCAGAAGAGCCGGTTCGTGAACCGGGTGGTGTCGTCCATGTTCAACACGGTGTCCGGCAAGAAGATCGCGGTGCTCGGGTTCGCGTTCAAGAAGGACACGGGCGACACCCGGGAGACGCCGGCGATCGACGTGTGCAAGGGCCTGGTGGGCGACAAGGCCCAGGTGAGCATCTACGACCCGCAGGTGACGGAGGAGCAGATCCAGCGGGACCTGGCCATGAACAAGTTCGACTGGGACCACCCGATGCACCTGCAGCCGACCAGCCCCACGGCGGTGAAGCAGGTGAGCGTGGTGTGGGACGCGTACGAGGCCTGCAAGGGCGCCCACGGCGTGTGCATCCTCACCGAGTGGGACGAGTTCAAGAAGCTCGACTACCAGAAGATCTTCGACAACATGCAGAAGCCGGCCTTCGTCTTCGACGGCCGCAACGTGGTCGACGCCGAGAAGCTCAGGGAGATGGGCTTCATCGTCTACTCCATCGGCAAGCCGCTCGACGGCTGGCTCAAGGACATGCCCGCCGTGGCCTAAGTTCACCTCGTCGCCCCGCCGGATCGGAGGAAGAGCAAGAAGTGGTTTGACCATCATTCATTATTTATAGTTTGCATTTTGCAGGAGAAGCATCTACATTTTCTCTGTCGGCCATAAAATTTTAGCAAATCTTCATGTCTTGTCAAGTTTCGATTCGATACATGTTTGCGTCTGTAGATCTTACTTATAATCAAATCCTCGGGCCCCTGTGCTGCCTGAGGAGGTTTTCCGTTGTATCCCATGAACGAACTTTGTAGCCTGTTTTGCTGAAATCATTACAGAATCAATGTGTTTTTTCGCCAAGTTTGCAGCTGCTCCTCGTTTGCTCGTGTGTTTTGCTTCACTCTAGTAGCTTGTTGGCCAGTAGCGTAAAATCGACTAGTAGTCACATGATCCTCTCTGAACCAGAAGGACCCAGGAATGGAGTTTCAGTTTCCTCTGCCGCGGAATATGTTGCAGGGATCAGACAGAGACAGAGAGGCCTACCCATGGCGAGACAACCGGCATCGACGCGGCCCGGTGATGCGTGGGGCAGCAGGCCCGTCTCGCCGCCGGGTCGGCACGCATCTCTACCGGCCTACCGCACACGTCTTCCAGTTCCAGCTTCCATCTTTCCACGGTGTGGGATGCTATTCCCCGGCGCCCACGGCAAAGGCAAAGTCGTCGATCGACGCCTGTGAACAACAGGTGGAGTGCGCGTGGATGGTGCCGGCCGGCGATCGCGTCAGACAAGTTTGATGATCGAATCCGCAGCGGTGCGGCGGCACGTGCTGGGTGCTGCAGGTCAAGGTCGATCGCCAAGTGGTGCGTGCAACGGCGCGGAGGCGCGGACGCGGCGTGCATGTGTGCCAGTCGACGACCAGACCTGGACCGCGTCGCCTAGGTGGGTGGAGCGGCGTTCGTCCCACTTTCCCACCGACGCCCACGTACGTATACGTAGTAGTACGTGGTTGTGTGCGCGCGCGACACCTTTCTCCAGCTCCAGTTCACACACGTAAACACGCTCTTCTTTGCAAAGTAGTCCCTCATTTTCAAGTTATTTTGCTTCCGATTTCCGGTCATGTCCTCCTCCTTCCAATGCGAGCAGCGGCGGCTGAGGCCTGAAAAATCCCCAAGCCTAGCCCTAATGGTGTGCCCGTATCCCTCTAGCTCGTCGAAGACGGCGGCGGCGTAGATCCTGTACCTAGCTGGGCGACCTTGTCCACCGGAGGCGGCGTTCCATCTCCGCCCCCACGAATCCTGGTCGTCTCTGTGACGCCCCCGATTCAATCGTACACTAATCATACACGCAAACGTGTACGATCAAGATCAGGGACTCACGGGAAGATATCACAATACAACTCTACAAATAAAATAAGTCATACAAGCATCATATTACAAGCCAGGGGCCTCGAGGGCTCGAATACAAGAGCTCGATCATAGACGAGTCAGCTGAAGCAACAATATCTGAGTACAGACATAAGTTAAACAAGTTTGCCTTAAGAAGGCTAGCACAAACTGGGATACAGATCGAAAGAGGCGCAGGCCTCCTGCCTGGCATCCTCCTAAACTACTCCTGGTCGTCGTTGCTGCACGTAGTAGTAGGCACCTCCCGAGTAGTAGTAGTCGTCGTCGACGGTGGCGTCTGGCTCCTGGGCTCCAACGTCTGGTCGCAGCAATCGGGTATAGAAAGGGGGAAAAAAGGGAGCAAAGCAACCGTGAGTACTCATCCAACGTACTCGCAAGCAACGAGCTACCCTACATATGTATGCATTGGTATCAAATGGAATAAGGATATCATATGAGGACTGAACTGCAGAATGCCGAAATAAGAGGGGGATAGCTAGTCCTCCGAAGACTACGCTTCTGGCAGCCTCCGTCTTGCAGCATGTAGAAGAGAGTAGACTGAAGTCCTCCAAGTAACATCGCATAGCATAATCCTACCCGACAATCCTCTCCTCGTCGCCCTGTTAGAGAGCGATCACCGGTTGTATCTGGCACTTGGAAGGGTGTGTTTTATTAAGTATCCGGTTCTAGTTGTCATAAGGTCAAGGTACAACTCCAAGTCGTCCTGTTACCGAAGATCGCGGCTATTCAAATAGATTAACTTCCCTGCAGGGGTGCACCACATAACCCAACACACTCGATCCCATTTGGCCGGACACACTTTCCTGGGTCATGCCGGGCCTCGGAAGATCAACACGTCACAACCCTACCTAGGCACAACAGAGAGGCCAGCACGTCGGTCTAAATCCTATGGCGCAGGGGTCTGGGCCCATCGCCCTTTGCACACATGCACGTTGCGAATGCGGCCGGAAGCAGACCTAGCCTAGTAGGCGTTCCAGTCCAATCCGGCGTGCGCCGCTCAGTCGCTGACGTCACGAAGGCTTCGGCTAATACCATGACGTCGAGTGCCCATAACTGTCCCCGCGTAGATGGTTAGTGCGTATAGGCCAGTAGCCGGACTCAGATCAAATACCAAGATCTCGTTAAACGTGTTATCTTGAAATAACCGCGAACGCCGACTAGGGCCAGGCCCACCTCTCTCATAGGTGGTCTCAACCTACCATGTCGCTTCGCCACAAAGATCCACTCAGAGGGCCGTCGGGACAAACGTCCTTTCGGACCCAATCCGTGAATCACTCGCGGGTACTCCTACGAGCCGACCCGTCTTTAGTCACCACAAGTATCATATATTATGTATAGGTATATATCCGTGATCAACTCCCGAGTGATCACGGCCCGATAGTATAGCATGGCAGACGGACACGAATGTATGGCCATTGATGGTAAACTAGCATCCTATACTAAGCATTAGGATTGCAGGTAAGGTATCAACAGTTGTAGAAACAATGACAGGCTATGCATCAGAATAGGAGTAACGGAAAGCAGTAACAGGCTACACTACTCTAATGCAAGCAGTATAGAGGAGAGTAGGCGATATCTGGTGATCAAGGGGGGGCTTGCCTGGTTGCTCTGGAAAGAGAGAGGGGTAGTCAACACCGTAGTCGTACTGGGTAGCAGCGGCGTTGGTCTCGGTGTCTAGCGAGAGAAGAGGGGGAAGAAACAATAAATATTTAAGCAAACAGATGTATAGCGATGCATGACATGACAAGTATCGGTGCTAGGGGTGCCCTAACGCGGTATGAGGTGATACCGGCGAAGGGGGGAAACATCCGGGAAAGTATCCTCGGTGTTTCACGTTTTCGGGCAAAGGAGCCGGAGGGGGAAAGTTGCGAGTTCGATAGGTTAGGGATGCGTGGCGGACGAATGGGCTGCGTATCTGGGTTCGTCTCGTCGCTCTGAGCAACTTTCATGTACAAAGTTTTCCCATACGAGCTACGGTTCATTTTATATTAATTTTAAAAGGTTTAAATCAATTTTAGCATTTATTTAATTAATTTAATTCAACATTATTCAGAAACAGTGCACGCTGATGTCAGCATGACGTCAACCTGACGTGTGGGTCCAGTGGGACCCACCTGTCATACAATGTTAGGTTGATTAGGGTTTAGGTTAAAGTAACTACTGCTTAATTAAACTAACATGTTAATTAGATTAATTAAATACGATTAATTAACTTAATGAGTTCATTAATTAATTATTTAATTAAATATTTTAATTATTATTTATTTATTTATTTGTTTTTTATATTTTTTTCTTTCATTTTCATTCTCACGGGGTGGGCCCCGTTTGTCATAGGGCCAGGGGCCTTAACGGGTTCTGGCGCTCGGGTGCGGGTGTCACCTGAGGGGGCGCTGGGCAGCGGGCGCCGTTGCAGGCGAGGCGCCCATAGGGCGGATGAGCCCGGGGCGGCAGTGAGCCGCAGCGGCATAGCGGCAGGGGGGCGCCGCGGTGGGGCAGAGCGGGCCGGCGGCGTGCGCGTGAGAAGGAGGGCGCGGGCGGCGTGGTCAGAGAAGCGGGGCTGGCGCGCGATGAGAAAGATCCGGGGCGCGGGCGACGCACGAGTACGCGCGTGCGCAGTGCGGGGCGAGCGGCGGCGCTTCGGGTGGAGGACGCGGGCAGGTACGGGGGCGCGGCCAGCGCGCGCAGCCGTGGCGAGGGCGCTCTCGGGCACGGCAACAGCGAGCAGAGGGCATACCGCGCGCAGGGGGAGGGCGCGGTGGTGAGGGCGACCACGGCGGGGTGGGCGCGCGGTCGACGCGAGGCTAGCTGAGTGGTGGCGAGCGCAGGTACGCCGGACGAGGCATGGTCCATGGCGCGGCGATTGCGAGCGTGGCCGCGGGCGACGTCGAGCAGCGCGTGGGTGAGGGACAAAGGGGAGAGGAGGAGCGGGAGGTGCTCACGGCGGCCGTAGGGGATGGGCAGCGGGGCGTGGGGAGGACGAGGGGGACGACTGGGCGACGGGGGAAGCAGTCCCGTGAAGGCGTCCGGCGAGGTGGCGTTGGCGACGGCGGAGCGGTCCTCGGGCGGCGGCGGTGTCCTGTGGTGGCTCAAGGAGGACTGCGTGGTGTAGGAGGGAGAGGAAGGAGACCGGGAGGGGCGGCGCCTGGTGACCAAGCTCAGCGGCGGGGCACGGGGCCGGGTGCCGGAGACGACGAGCGGCGTGGGGAAGGGGGGTTGGGGCCCTCTGCCCCGATCCAGACGGGGAAGGGGAGAGAGGCGTGTGGGAGGGAACGAGTGGGGGAAGTGGGATGGGTGGTTAGGGTTTCCCCCCAGTGGGGTGGATATGGGGGGTGTGGGGTGCGACTGGGCCGGCCTGGCGGCCCGATGGCCTGCTGGGCCGTGGCCCAGTGGGGGGGGGGGGTTCTTCTATTTCCTTCTTTATTCTTTGTTAGTTTTGTTTTCTGTTTTTTATATTTTCTTTTCTCTTTTTTTTAGTTTCTTTTAGTTTTAGTTTTATAAAAATTACCACTAGTGCCTAAATTTGTATTTATCAACAAACTACTGTAAGATTAATTCTTAACCCATAATAAAATAGTTTTAGCATTTTATAAATTCAATAGACATTTGTTTAATTGTTTTCACTACTATTTTAATTGTTTTAGAGCCTTTAAACA